CAAATATCAACATAATTTGAGGTCATTTATAAAACATCGTCCTTAGATCTTGACTAGATATTGAATTTTGATCACCTGACATCATGACCAAAATCTAACCTAATGTTAATGATGTTGTGTGTCTGCTGTATATGCGGGATCTTAAATTGAAGATCTGAGGTGAACTATATCTGGGTTAACTTTAAATCTCACATCAAATTCTGAAGCACATAAAAACAACAGTGTTTTTCATCAGCTGCGGGCGGCGGTGTGTCAGATGCAGTCAGGACGTGATGTGAAAAGAGTTTGACTGATTTCAGAAACAATCCTGTGATAATTAAAAGACAAATCAAATGCTCAAACTGTGAAGCTGCGGTCATGCTAGAGTTTGAGCTGGAGAAATTCTGCAGTATGGTGCTGTAAAAAGGGGCGGGATTAAACATGATGATTAGACATCAATGGAAGCGTGTGATTGGTCCATATTTAAAATTTCAGTCCAGAGAGATCATGTTTTGATCATAAGTTGATCTAACGCAGTCAAGTGATGCGATGTCACAGGTCAGAGTTCATCAAGCTTGAACTGTGAAAACGTGATGCACAAACTTGTGTTTCCGGTCTGACACAGTCGTGTGCTTATGGATGCAAGTCTAAGCAAAGAAAAGTCCAGTAAATACAAATAAAGGAACCAGTTTCTGATTACACACACACAGCTGGACTGATTACTAGGACTAATAAGACGCCTCGTTCACACACTCTTTGCTGAGTCCTGTGTGAAGCATTACAGCATGGTTTTCCCTCATCCTGCCGTGTTTAGATTCTTGTCTTGTTTACTATTATTGCTGTTTTATCTCCTGTCCTGTTTCTAATTCAGTCTAATACATGTTTTGGTAACGTTTCTCTCTCTCTTAGTTTGTTTTCTTTAATTAAACGTGTCTGTTTGTTCTGATAATGTATTATTGATTAGTGTCAGCTTCCAAAAGAGTTTTATTTGCTCACTCAGCTGTGAGTTCACCTTCACCACTCTCCTTCTTCAGCTTGTCTGGATGCAGAACTGAGTGGCATGTGGCATGAGCACTGAGCTGTGATTGTGTGTGTGTGTGTGTGTTAAGGTCAGTGTGTGTTTGAATGTGTTTGGCGTGATTGTGTCTAGGTCAGTGTGTGTGTGTGTGTGTGTGCTGCTCCTTCCTGGAGTGTACGTGACACTTGTAGAGTGTGAGGCGGGTCACATGATCACATACCAGACCCCAAAACATACACTTTAATGAGCTCTGCCACACACACACACACACACACACACACACACACACACACACACACACACACACACACACACACACACACACACACACACACACACACACACACACACACTGCCAACATTCCAGTGCTTTACCTGTCTCTGTGTGGAGCTGCATGAAAGCTTCCTCCATCAGAGGCTCATTGTTGGGTGATCAGGTGTGTGTGTGTGTCAGCAGAGGATCAGAGGACAGTCTGTCTTTGAAGTAAATGAGTTTCTCCACAGATGGTCGGGTGTGTTTGACACCTGCAATACATATGAAAAATACATATTGCTAAAATGGACCGTTATATGTATTTATATACATATATATATAGAGTGCTAAAATAGAGCGCAAAAGGTAAAGCATGGTAAACGCCATGTTTGCATCGATTAAAAAATAATAATAATAATTAATTAAAAATTTGATGTTATATGCAAAATAAACACTGGAAAATGTCTTCGATAGGCTATAAATGGTAATGTATTAGCTGTCTACCACTATTAAGTAGGCTAATATGCAAAGATGTGCAATTCAAAAATACTAATCCCTAGTAGCAGAGAATTCTGGCCCAGATTTGGTATAAAGCTGGTACAGCAGGCAGTCATCCAGCACTGGCATGCAACATATGGTTTGGCAGAGTGTCTTTAAAGCGGCACACCAGATTTGGGCCAGATGTAAAACGTAGTATTTGGCCCAGATTATAACAATGTATTGTGGCCCAGGTGAGTTTGGCCAGTCTTGACCCACACTTAAAAAACATTAACATCATTTTTGAGTAAAGAAAAAAAAATTCTACCAATCAGGTCACATCAAGCACAGCCACAGTGAGCCTAAAGCGCAACGCTTCATGGGTTTATCAATGTCATTGCAATCATGACACTCAAACCTATCTGGCCCAGTTATGAGTTATTAACCTGGCTGAGACTTGGCCCAGATATGATCTGTGTTTGGTTCTTGTCTGGAAGCCAGATTTGGTCCAGTCATGTACCGTAATTCACTGCGGCATGTGGGCCAAGCAAAACCTGATTGTGTGGGTCAGATCTGGGCCAGGCTGGGTATAGGCTCTGGTGCATTAAATAATAATTCATAATAATAAATAATAATATTAAGATGTTTTTTTAAATCACAAAATATAGAAAATGGCATCGAATGCTGATATTTTTGTGCAGTCGGACACTCCAGCATCATGACTACACTAGTTACAGTCACGGTCAAGATTATTCAGTGCATTAAAGGCAATATGGAGGATTCTGCTGCAGGTATAGGAGACATTTCACAAGTTACAACTCTTTAAAACAGCCATTGTTTCTTTGAATTATCAGTCAGCATCAGTCTCCTGCTGTACTGTGTGTTTCCTCAATAGATGTGGGTAATACCCAGAGATGGGCTTTCCCGGAGTGACCCGTCTCTTGAGTTGTCATCACTGTGTTCTCCTGATGTGTGTGTTCTCGTCAGTGATGTGCTGTAGGGTTTAATGTAAAGCTGTGTGTGTGTGTGTGTGTGTGTGTCATCATGATGCTGTGTGTGGTCGAGCAGCTTCTTTATAATCGTATACTTGATGTAGGAGAATATGCTGACGCTGATCATGTTCATCATCTGAGCTTCTCATACACACATGATCAGGGCTGTGTGTTGGTCTGTGTAAGCATGTTGTGTAGATGAACACTGATCTACAAACACTATCAATGATCAACATGTAGACGTCCTACTGTATTTTGACAGTAAAGCCTGGAGAGTAGCTGAGGTTGTGTAGAGCTGAAGTTGTGTAGAGCTGAAGTTGTGTAGAGCTGAAGTTGTGTAGAGCTGAGGTTGTGTAGAGCTGAGGTTGTGTAGAGCTGAAGTTGTTTAGAGCTGAGGTTGTGTAGAGCTGAGGTTGTGTAGAGCTGAAGTTGTGTGTTGTGTGTCCTGAATAATGCAGCAGGTCGGAGCTCTCGTTCATTACCGCTGCCTTCAGTCAAAGCTGTGTCACGCTCTGACAGTGCGTCTGCCTTGACCTGTGATGCTCCATGTGGTGAGTGGTGAGTGTGTGTGTGTGTGTGTGTGTGTGTGTGTGTGTGTTTGTAGTCTTGTTTTCTTCATTGTCTGAAGAGTGTCTGTTTCTGACAGATCAAGACCATCTGAATATCACACACACACCCTGATCTGACACATGCAATAACACACACACACACACACACACACACACACACACACACACACACACACACACACACACAGGCAGTTTCAGGATGTCGTCAGTGTGTCGGTCATATGCTGCTCTCAGAATGAGGAACTGTGGTGTTTTATTTCTGCATCACTCTTAAACTCTGCAGTTCCACAAACACTTCTGTGTGTGTGTGTGTGTGTGTGTGTGTGTGTGTGTGTGTGCTGATCAGTGAAGTGAGCCTCGTCATTGTCTGTAGTGGACGTCTCTGGTCAGTGTGGGAAACTCTTTCATTAGCAGAAGTAGATGTGTGAAGCTGAAGCTGGTGAGGTGTGTCTTCATCACTGCAGTTACACACTCACTCACACATTCACACACTCACTCACAGATAAACACTGCCAAATATATGAGAGAGACTCAAAACTAAAGCAGACCACTGATGCGTCACAAAATCAGCCACTGGAGAAACACAAACTAAAACTGAACTATTAAACAAATGAAAATAAAGAGCAGTGTGAACCTGCACTGCAATGAAACCTCTTTCCTACTCAGTGTGTGAGTGTGTGTGTCTTGTTTCCAGTCCAAATATCTACAATTTAACAAATCAAGCAGCATTTTCTAGACCAGCAGAAAATATAGTCTCTGTGTTCAGCAAAAATGAGTCAGAATGAAGAGTTTTACTGTAACACAAGCTGTGTGTGTGTGTGTGTGTGTGTGTGTGTGTGTGTGTGTGTGTGTGTGTGTGTGTGTGTGTGTGTGTGTGTGTGTGTGTGAGAGAGAGAGTGAGAGTGCGTGTGTGTGCGTGTGTGTGTGTGTGTGTGTGTGTGTGTGTGTGTGTGTGTGTGTGTGTGTGTGTGTGTGTGTACTGTAGAGATGAAGTTTCTCCTGTAGTTCTGAGAAGCTGCTGTTCTGCTGACTCTATCTGACAGACAGAAGTGAAGAGTAAACTGCAGCGCTGACACACACACACACACACACACACACACACACACACACACACTGATAAGCAGTGTTTGCTCTCCTGCTCTCATTCTCAGTCTGGGAAATCTGTGCAGTTCAGAGTATTTCAGGAAACATCCTCACGCACATCTGTGTGTGTGTGTGTGTGTGTGCGCGTGTGTGTGTATGCATGTGTGAGTGTTTTTGTGTAAGAGAGAGAGTGTGCACATGCAAGTATGTGTGTGGAAATGTAATTGTGCGTTTGTCTGTTAGCGAGTGTGTGTCTGAGGTTAATGGTGTGTGTGTGTGTGTGTGTGTGTGTGTGTGTGTGTGTGTTTGTTAGGTTGTGCATGCAGCGTGTTTGTGTCCATGAATGTGTTTATGTGTATGTGTGTGTGTGTGTGCATACCCTGTATGTCTGTGCGTTACTGTGTGTGTGCATGCCCGCACCTGTGTGTGTGTGTGTGTGTGTGTGTGTGTGTGTGTGTGCTGTTAGAGTCCGCTGGCGTCAGATCACGTTCATTCATGCATTTCTGATGTGAACTTTCACAGAATTAACCTGAGGCTGCTAATGACTCAATGGTGTGTGTGTGTGTGTGTGTGTGTGTGTGTGTGTGTGTGTGTGTGTGTGTGTGTGTGTGTGTGTTTGCTCTGTCTAGGGTTTGGTTTACACAAACACTGATGTAGAAGAGGTGCACGAGTGGATCGTCCAACACTTCAGTGATCATCCTCTCTTCAGCAGAGTCACGGAGGAGCAGCTGGTGTGTGTGTGTGTGTGTTGAACAGCTGAGAGTGTGTGAAGCGTCTTCATGCGCTGAGTTTGATGCTCCCCTGTAGAGTAGAGCGGGTTCCTCCAGGTTTGATGTGTGCTGCGTCTCTGTTCACCTGCGTATGAAGATCATAACCTGCTGTTCTGCTCTTCAGCTGTGACAATAATAGGAATAGGAGCCGTTTCTAATAAATCTACTTGAGGTGTTGGTTAGGACCAAAACTCTTTTTTAATATGGAGAATTTTCCTTCTGTCACGTGCCGCTGCTTCTATGTAGAACACGACAATCTGGCAACCTGCGCTTGCGTTTGTTTTGATGCAGGGGTGCAGTACCTAATTCACCCACTGGGTGTCAAACATACACACTGCAGCTTTAAATATAGCGCTGAACATGTGACGGATGTTTTTCATTGGGTGAATCGTTCAGACATCTTCACTTAAGTCTCTCTGGTTAACCTTCATTCTCACACACCCGCCATGTTTGTAGTTCAACACTTATGTCATGTTTGTAGTTTTAACACTGTATAGTGAGTAATATAATATAATTCTACATTTCAAGATCATGATGAGAACAGATGGACAGGGTTAATTCAGCAGTAAACCTCATGTAAGGACTTCATTAATGCCGTTTTTGCTCTGTTGCTGATTGTGTTGTCGCAGGCTGATGACATCATCGTCGGTCACCTGGGAACCTGCACGGAGGAGGGAAAGAAGGTGCAGAGAAACGGAGGGAAGAACTTTCTGGCAGTTTTCCGCAGAGTGGAGGATCCGCAGACGTGAAGATCACATCATTATAGCAGCGTGATCTCGTTACACAAGTACACTGAGTTTTGGACATTACTGTACATTAAAGATTTACTGTATGAAGAGCCCCTCTGTGTGTGCTGCAGGTCACTGAACACAGCTAATAACAAGAGTTCTGGAGTCCACACACACACTCACCGGCCACTTTATTAGGTACACCTGACCAACTGGTCGTTAATGCAAATGTCTAAGCCAATCACAGGGCAGCAGCTCACTGCATTTAGGCTTTAGGCATGTAGACATGGTCAAGAGGATCTGCTGCAGGTCACACTGAGCATCAGAATGGGGAAGAAAGGGGATTTAAGAGACTTTGGCATGGTTGTTGCTGCCAGACGGGCTGCTCTGAGTATTTCAGAAACTGCTGATCTACTGGGATTTTCACACACAACCATCTCTAGGGTTTACAGAGAATGCTCCGACAAAGAGGAAATATCCAGTGAGCGGCAGTTCTGTGGGCGCAAATGCCTTGTTGATGAGGTCAGAGGAGAATGGCCAGACTGGTTCAGCTGATAGAAAGGCAACAGTAACTCAAATAAGCACTCGCTACAACCGAGCTCTGCAGAAGAGCATCTCTGAACACACAACACGGCCAACCTTGAGGCGGATGGGCTACAGCAGCAGAAGAGCACACCGGGTGCCGCTCCTGTCAGCTAAGAACAGGAAACTGAGGCTACAATTCACACAGACTCACCAAAACTGGACAATAGAAGATTGGAGAAACGTTGCTGCTCTGATGAGTCTCCATTTCTGCTGACACATTCGGATGCTCGGCTCAGACAACATGAAAGCATGGATCATCCTGCCTTGTATCAGCGGTTCAGGCTGGTGGTGGTGGTGTAATGGTGTGGGGGAGATTTTCTTTGGGTCCATTAGTACCAATTGAGCATCAACGCCACAGCCTACCTGAGTATTGCTGCTGACCATGTCCATCCCTTTATGAGCACAGTGTCTCCATCTTCTGATGGCTACTTCCAGCAGGATAACGCAGCATGTCATAAAGCTCAATCATCTCAGACTGCTGAACATGACGATGAGTTCACTGTACTCAAATGGCCTCCACAGTCACCAGAGCTCAATCCAATAGAGCAGCTTTGGGATGTGGTGGAACGGGAGATTGGCATCATGGATGTGCAGCCGACAAATCTGCAGCAACTGTGTGATGCTATCATGTCAACATGGAGCAAAATCTCTGAGGAATATTTCCAGCAGCTTGTTGAGTCTACACCATGTAGGATTAAGGCAGATCTGAAGACCAAAGAGGGTCTGACCTGGTACTAGTAAGGTGTACCTAATAAAGTGGCCAGTGAGTTTAATAGATAACATTAACCTCTACATTAGATCAAACTATACTGTGTTTATTTTGCCAGCACACGTTGTTAGTCTTAATATGTTTATAATTAGATGATTAAACACTTCACTCCCTTTATTTGCACATTAATCCCTCCGGTTTCGTTTGCAAAATGGCTGGCGTGTCTTGTTGAGACTGCATCTGAGCTTTATGAGCTACGGAAGGTGGGAAACCAGTCTGGACCCCTGACTGGGTTACAGCTTTTTAGCCAAAGTTTAGATTTGGCTAAACTTGACAGATCCGTATGAATCACATGTTGAGGCTGGTGATACTTTCTCCTGCATCTATGTATGATTGCTAGCATGAGTCAGAAATATAATATACATATAATAATATAAACTTTAAACACAACTCAAGTGGGACTTAAAGAGACGTTTAAACCAGCATCCAGTCTTCATTACAGTGATTAGACTGCACAACTGACCAATGCAGCTCTGAATATGTAGATATGAGTCTGATGAGCGCTGCACATTAGCATAAAGACTGACATGCGTGTGCTCCCCAGACTGTCTAAAGCACACACATGTACATGATCAATAACAGAGCAAATATTTGCAGATGTAATCCATCCTGAGCTCAAACACACATGCAGACATCAGTCGGTCAATGCTGGGGTCAGTGGACGCTTCAGCAGAGTGTGTGTGTGTGTGTGTGTGTGTGTGTGTGTTCAGGAGAAACTGCAGTGAAGCCCGCAGTGAGCAAACCTTCATCACACTGACCTTCACTGAGGAGCACAAAGAGGACTGGATAGTGGTGATGTCCTCTAAGAGAGAAGGGAGACGTCACTCAAGAGCGTCGGCTGCTTGTTCACAATGCTTACTTAAACAAAACGGTTCTTGATTTATATCTCCGGGTGCTCTGGTTTCCCCCACAGTCCAAACACATGCGCTATAGGGGAAGTTGTTTAGCTACATTGTCTATAATATGAGTGTGTATGGGTGTTTCCCAGTGATGGGTTGCAGCTGGAAGGGCATCCGCTGTGTAAAACAAATGCTATACAAGTTGGCGGTTCATTCCTCTGTGGCGACCCCTGATTAATAAAGGGACTAAGCTGAAGGAAAGTGAATGAGTGATGTATTTTATCTCCCAGGTCAGACATGCTGGAACTATAGAGCTGAACAGCACTGTGGACTTCAGGAGGACATTGGCTGCTTTCGTTCTGCCCTTTTTTTTGGCTTGACCTTTGACCTTGGCTCCACATTCCTTCATCTGTCCCATGACTCCATACATGCATTGAGCAAAGGCTGAGTTTGACCTGAGCTCCACCGTGTGATGGTGTTGTGTGGGCTGGATCATCTTCACCACATCGTTACCCGTCAGTGAAGGTGAAGCTTCTCAATGCACAGATCAGACACTGGCCTCCTGCTGTGGATGTAAATATGTATATGAGAGAGAATGTTGAGTTTGGATCTGTCTGGGTGCACAAATGTTTACATTCAGACTTGGTTTGCATTGAAATCTGCATTATAAAGCCCCGAGCAGCGCTAGAATTCATCCTAAAGCTCCAGCCTACAGGATCAGAACCACAAAAAAAGAGGTGAAGCGCTTCCCCGTTTGCCTCTTAAACTTTGGAACAGCTTTCCACATAATGTTTGAGGCTCAAACTCGACTCTTGATTCAGGTTTAAACCAAACATTTGTCTAACCTTGTAGCTGCGCTGCATCAGTCGCTCTGCTCGAGTGTTCTCAGCATGTCTGTTATATTAAATAATCCTCATTCCACTGATGTTATTTCAGCAACTTTCAGGAGTGTGAGCAAAATACAACACCTGACGCTCCTTTCATGCAGGATTTCCAGAAAACGAACACGTCATCAAGTGTACCAGTAGATGCTCACTCATCTGTTATATTTAAAACAAGAATCATTTGAGGAAAAACACTTCAGTAATTGATAGTAAATGCAGAAGTGTTTTTAAACCACACTATATTAAAGAACTTACATTATTTGTTGTGGTGATTCTACAGTTTCATGTGTTGGCGTGGGTTTCCCCCGGGTGCTCCGGTGTCCCCCACAGTACAAACACGTGTGCTATAGGGGAACTGATCAACTAAACTGGGCGTTGTGTATGAGTGTTTCCCAGTACTGGGTTGCAACTGGAAGGGCATCCGCTGTGTAAAACATATGCTAGAATAGGTGGTGGTTCATACCGCTGTGGTGACCCAAATTAACAAAGGGACTAAGCCGGAAAAAAAAAAAGATTCTACAGTTGCTATGGTAACACATCAACTACACTAATTGATCTGTTGTGGTGATTCTACAGTTGCTATGGTAACAACAACTACACTAATTGATCTGTTGTGGTGATTCTACAGTTGCTATGGTAACAACAACTACACTAATTGATCTGTTGTGGTGATTCTACAGTTGCTATGGTAACACATCAACTACACTAATTGATCTGTTGTGGTGATTCTACAGTTGCTATGGTAACAAAAACTACAGTAATTGATCTGCTGTGGTGATTCTACAGTTGCTATGGTAACACAACAACTACAGTAATTGATCTGCTGTGGTGATTCTACAGTTGCTATGGTAACACAACAACTACAGTAATTGATCTGCTGTAGTGATTCTACAGTTGCTATGGTAACACATCAACTACACTAATTGATCTGTTGTGGTGATTCTACAGTTGCTATGGTAACACATCAACTACACTAATTGATCTGTTGTGGTGATTCTACAGTTGCTATGGTAACAACAACTACACTAATTGATCTGCTGTGGTGATTCTACAGTCGCTATGGTAACACAACAACTACAGTAATTGATCTGTTTGGGTGATTCTACAGTTGCTATGGTAACAAAAACTACAGTAATTGATCTGTTGTGGTGATTCTACAGTTGCTATGGTAACAACAACTACACTAATTGATCTGCTGTGGTGATTCTACAGTTGCTATGGTAACACAACAACTACAGTAATTGATCTGTTGTGGTGATTTTACAGTTGCTATGGTAACACAACAACTACAGTAATTGATCTGTTGTGGTGATTTTACAGTTGCTATGGTAACACAACAACTACAGTAATTGATCTGCTGTGCTGATTCTGCAGTTGCTATGGTAACACAACAACTACAGTAATTTATCTGCAGTGGTGATTTTACAGTTGCTATGGTAACACAACTACAGTAATTGATTTGTGGTGGCGATTCTAAAGTTGCTATGGTAACAACAGTTATATATTGAGTTATATAGACAGTGCAGACCCATTGCTGTAGTTTTGTGCAGCTAGAGAGCCTCTTTTACTCCAGTACACCACAGTTTACTGCAGTAGACTCTATTTTACTACAGTCTTTATAACAGTGGTCAGTCTGCTGGAGCGTTCATTAACATGAGTTGTAGATGCTGTAATATATACAGTATAATACACTTTATTGGTGTTGTTCAAATACACATCAGCATTTCCTATAATTTACTGTAGTATTTGTTCATGTGGCCATGAGCAGGGTGCATTTGAGGATTTCAGGTGTGTGTTTCAGTAGAATTTGACTGAACTTTAGCCTCCGTTCATCAGACCAGGCCAGCGCAAGTCCAAGAAGAGATTAATAATGAAAAAACAGAATCAAAGGGAGATTTCACCACATCTAATTCCTTGAAATGGGGAATAAAGACAAATATCCTGCCAGAGCAGAGTCATGGAGTCATAACTCATTTATTTAACAATGAATTGATCAAATATGGATCAATATGACAATGAAAATTGTCATTTAAAAGAAAAATATCTCGATATAACTTGAGTTTGTCTATATTATACCCAAATTTGCGTTGAAACAACCCAGTGCTTTAGTGTTATATTTTTGTTTTTAGTAAATTAAATAATGTTGTTTTAATTAATTTATTAAATTGATCTTAAAATATTTTCATTATTACTAAATATTATTACTAAATATAATTACGATAAATATATAAATTAATAACCTGAACAACCTGAACAAAAGGCATTACAGTATACACACAATCACTATAATTTATCCATATTCTGTTTTGAGCAACAATATTATCAACACAGCTACTTTTATTGATGTACCCTACAAAATCATTGAGATTTTTGGCCCTTGTAAGTCAACCAGCTAAAATATTGAGGTGCTAAACAAAGAAATGTATATATATATATATATATATATATATATATATATATATATATATATATATATATATATATATATGTATAAATTTCTTTATAAAAAGTGTACAATCTCATGAACCAAAAGTCCTGTTTCGTCTCTCTTCATCAAACAATACTAAGCAAATTATACAAACTTTACTGAGCCTTGTTAAGTAACGTTAATATGTTTAGTATTTAACTACTAAGGTTAACAAAAGATGTAAATGCATGACACACATACCGGTTGTTGTTTCTTATTATTACTGTTAGTTTACATAATTACATTTAAATTAGTAACATCAACAGCAAAATCATATTGAGGTGGCCAGAGTTCAGCATTGTGCATGTGAGCAGTGCGTTGTTTATATGCCATTTCAATTCAAAAGAAGTTCAACTTTCACATGCTGTGCTGCTCACCACTGTCAGTCCCACAGCAGTAGACCAATCAGAAGAGCTCAGAGGTGGGACAACCTTCGCTAGCTTCTGTTAATAGTAGACAGTTGGCGTGACAGCTGCTTCATTTACCAGCATATCCCGCTGGAGGAGGCACTTATTGTCCATATTGTTTTCCTGTTTCCAGTGGGTCCGTCATTACCAATATTACATCACATTCATAATACTGCAAACATGGAGCTCACGACACGCATTTTTAAAGGATTTGGTGGGAATGAGCGGGAATTGGGTGGGTTAAATTGGCCGTAGTGTATGAGTGTATGTGAATAAGTGTTTATGGATGTTTCCCAGTGATGGGTTGCAGCTGGAAGGGCATCCACTGTTTAAAACAGATGCGGGAATAGCTGGCGGTTCATTCCGTTGTGGCGACCCCTGATTAATAAAAACAGGGCTAAGCTGAAGGAAAATAAATAAGTGAATGATTCTACAGTTGCTATGGTAACACAACAACTACAGTAATCATGAAATCATGAAATAATCAGTTAAAATAAGTTCGCTCTGAGCTGAAAAAGCGCTACATCAGTCTGTAGGAGAGACTAGTGGTCAAGTTATCCTGATATTCACAATATCATTCATTTTCTTTTCGGCTTAGTCCCTTTATTAATCAGGGGTCGCCACAGCGGAATGAACCACCAACTACTCCTGCATGTTTACGCAGCAGATTCCCTTCTAGCTGCAGCCCAACACTGGGAAACACAATATAATTAAATATTAAAATTATAACATTATCAACAGCAACACTCACAACAGCAACACTGATTCAGTGGTTGCCTAGTGACATAAAAAGCACAGCACACTTCTTGTGCCTCACGTTTCACTGTGACCCGCCCCTAATCTAACTACAGTAATGACTTTATAACTCATTATACCCCAGTTACTCCTATACATTATACTCATGATAAGAACAAGTGTGTGTGTGTGTGTGTGTGTGTGATTATATTCCCAGTGGGGACCTAAACCTGTATGGGAGAGAATACAGTCCGTACAGTAAAAACATCATCACAGTTGTGAGTGTGTGCGTGCATGTTTGTGTGTGTGTGTACTTGTTTATACATCTCGGTGGGGACTTAAACCTGTAGAGAGAACATACAGTACTGTAGAAACATCAATACAACTGTGTGTGTGTGTGTGTATGTGTGTATAGGGACTTCAACATGCAGAGGAGAGAATATACAGTCTGACTGTACAGCAGAAACAGTGTGTGTGTGTGTGTGTGTGTGTGTGTGTGTGTGTGTGTGTGTGTGTGTGTGTGTGTGTGTGTGTGTGTGTGTGTGTGTGTGTGTGTGTGTGTGTGTGTTTTTTCTCAGTACTACTGTTGATTTTCGCACACACATGGACCGGAGCCACATTTTCCTGCGGTAAGAGCCGGACCCGGAGCTCCTCTTGGCGCATCATCAGTGTGTGTGTGTGTGTGTGTGTGTGTGTGTGTACATTCTGGATGATCTGAGAACACACCGCTGATAACCGCTCTCTTACATCACTTTATCAATATATATCGATCCAGGAGCGCGCGTGACCGGCAGATTTCCGCGTATCAGAGATCAGCAGAGAGCTAACGAGTGGGCGGGGCATTCGCGCTCCTCGCACGCCATTGGCCGAGCAGGGGAAAGGTGTGCGCGAAAGTGGCGCGCTCCTGCGGTATAAGTAGAGCACCGGCGTGAGCGTGCAGGATGAGCCGGCGCGTGCGTCTGCAGCAGGAGGATGATGATGGTGCTTCACCAAGCGCTGAAAGTGACCGGCAGGAGCGCGCTCCCGCTGCTCAGGTTTGCCGAGCGCTGGGCTGACGTCATTCGCGCGCCCCCGACGCCGCAGGTGAAGACGCTCGAGCAGATGCCCGGTCCGTCGCCCGCGCGCTTCATCCGGGACCTGTTTATGAAACGCGGGTTCTCGCGCCTCCACCAGCTGCAGGTGCGCTTTACACACACACACACACACACACACACACACACACATTCATATTCTTTTCGGCTAAGTCTCTTTATTAATCTGGGGTCGCCACAGCGGAATGAACCACCTCAATAATTATTAATGTTTTTAATAATGTATGTGTTTATTATACAGCATTGAACATAGATGATGATATGTACAGAACAGAGTTTACCTTAAAATATTAACACAAACACAACTAATTAAACAGAGAAAATTAAAGGTAGGAGACAAACAAACAAACAGCTGAACAGAATCACATATAATCATAGTGAGAGTTTTGCTTTACTATTTTTCGCTCAATATAATATTTAATATTTATCTTAACACAAGAGTAAGTTTTCTTTTAGTCCATTTCTGTTTGTGTGTTCGGTAAAACACTTTTACATTTATTATATATATTTTTATATTTACTATATTATTTTATACAGAAAAGTATATGGTTTATGAACCATACCATAGTAAAGTACTTAAGTTAATCAGCTGTGGTGATTTTATAGTTGCTTTAGTAACAACTATAGTAATTAATTGGTTGTGGTGATTCTACAGTCGCTATGGTTACACAACAGCTACAGTAAATGATCTGCTGTGGTGATTCTACAGTTGCTATGGTAACAACAACTACAGAAATCATTTGTGGGGATTCTACAGTTGCTATGGTAACACAATAACTACAGTTATTAATTGGTTATGGTGATTCTACAGTTGCTATGGTAACAACATCTACAGTAATCTATTGTTGTGATTCTACAGTTGCTCTGGTAACAACATCTACAGTAATCTATTGTTGTGATTCTACAGTTGCTATAGTAACACAACAACTACAGTAATGTAAACAAATGTCAGTATAAAACACGTAGTATAATTAAGTAACAGCAGTGTTCGTTATGCAGTGCTGTGAGTTAACTGTGATGTGTGTGTGTGTGTGTGTGTGTGTGTCTGCAGCTGGAGGGCCGGCAGAAGTACGGGCCCATGTGGAAAGCCAGTTTCGGGCCCATCCTGACGGTGCATGTGGCGGAGCCGGAGCTGATCCAGCAGGTGCTGCGGCAGGAGGGGCAGCACCCCATGCGCTCAGAGCTCTCGTCCTGGAAGGATTACCGGGCACTGCGGGGGGAAGGATACGGGCTGCTGACCGCGTGAGTCCTCCACATCATGCAGAGCTGCACAGACTGTGTCTATGTGTCCCTGAGTGTGTGTGTGTGTGTGTGTGTGTGTGTGTGTACAGGATAGATTAGGAAACTTTTAAACAAATGGCCAAACATTGCTGTGTGTCTGCAATAATAGGTAGCTTGCATGTTTGGAAAAGACAATTTCAGATATTTGATACCTAACAATAAGTGTGTGTGTGTGTGTGCGCAGTGAGGGAGAAGAGTGGCAGTGTGTGCGCAGTCTGCTGTCGAAGCACATGTTGCGTCCTCAAGCGGTGGAGGCGTATGACGGTGCTCTGAACGCGGTGGTCAGCGATCTCCTGCAGAAACTGAAGCTGCGCTCGCAGGAGAGCTCCAGCCGCATCGTCTCCGACATCTCTGCTGAGTTCTACCGCTTCGGTCTGGAAGGTACACACACACACACACACACACACACACACACACACACACACACACACACACACACTTATACTATCTCTGATTCATCACATGAAGGTGTTTAAGGGGCTCCTGATCCCCCTTTACCAGCTGTAGGATCAGCGTTTGGCGTCTCCAGAATGTGTTTGGCACAGGAGAAGTGGAGCTCCAGTTTAACCCTGTCTCTGTGTGTGTGTCAGGCATCTCCTCCGTGCTGTTCGAGTCCCGCATCGGCTGTCTGGACGCAGTGGTTCCAGTGGAGACGGAGCGCTTCATCCAGTCCATCAACACCATGTTCGTGATGACTCTGCTGACCATGGCCATGCCTCAGTGGCTGCACCGCCTGCTGCCCAAACCCTGGGACACCTTCTGCCGCTGCTGGGACGTCATGTTTGAGTTCGGTGAGCGGCACCACTGCTGAGTTTAAGAACTGGGATATAACCAGTGTGTGCTGTTGGGTGGTTTCATCCACGCTGGGCTGATTTTAGTCTGGATTGGGCCTCAGCTTTCTCTGAGTTTCAGCAAGTGAGATGATTGTTGCTGCCTTCTGATTTTGACTCATAGTTTAGGGAAGATGCTTTGAAGGTTTTTACAACACACTCTGGGCAGACTGACTCCTCTTTGGTGATGTTGGGGCTGTTTTTGACCCATTGACTTCCGTTATAATCACATTTATTGACTGTAAAGCCATCAGCAGATAATCCTGCATTACTGACTGCTTTCCCCTCTTGGGAAGAGGGACAATGTGTCTTTTTCCCTTTGTGGGTGTGTTTAGCTAACAGTTGGGTGTGGTCAACTGCTGAATGGTTAAGTGGCCAGCTAAGAAGTGGGCGTGGTTAAATGCTGAAAGGGAAAGTGGGTGTGTTCTGATACAAAATGAGTATGGTAAAATGCACAGTGGTGATGTGGGTGTGTTTAGCTAGTAAGTGGGCGTGGTAAAAAACTGAGGGGTGAAATGGGTGTGTTCAGATAAAAATGGGTGTGGTAAAACACTGAGTGGCTAAGTGGGTGTTGTAAAATGCTGAGTGGTGAAGTGGGTGTGTTCAGCGAATAAATGGACAGGGTGAGGGAGGTGTGTTCTGCTAATAAGTGGGCGTGGCAAAGTGGGTGTGTTCGGTTAATATATGGGAGTGGTGAAGTGGGTGTGTTCAGCTAATAAGTGGGCGTGGCAATGTGGGTGTGTTCGGTTAATATATGGGAGTGGTGAAGTGGTTGTGTTCAGCTAATAAGTGGGTGTGGCGAAGTGGGTGTGTTCAGTTAATATATGGGAGTGGTGAAGTGGGTGTGTTCAGCAAATATGTGGGCGTGGCAAAGTGGGTGTGTTCAGTTAATATATGGGAGTGGTTAAGTGGGTGTGTTCAGCTAATAAGTGGGCGTGACGAAGTAGGTGTGTTCAGTTATTATATGGGCGTGGTGAAGTGGGCGTTTTCAGATAATAAGTGGGCGTGGCAAAATGGGTGTGTTCAGTTAATATATGGGCGTGGTAAAGTGGGTTTGTTCAGCTAATATATGGGTTTGGGGAAGTAGGTGTGTTCAGCTAATATATGGGTGTGGTCAAGTGGGTGTGTTCAGCTAATAAGTGGCTGTTGTAAAAGTGTGTGTTTAGCTAGGAAGCGGGCGTGGTAAAATACTCAGTGGTGATGTGTGTGTTTAGCTAAAAAGAGGTGTGGTCAACTGCTGAATTGTTAAGTGGGTGTGGTCAGCTAATAAGTGGGTGTGGTTACATGCTGAAAGAGGAAGTGGGTGTGTTCTGGTACAAAATGAGTATGGTAAAATGCAGAGGGGTGATGTGGGTGTGTTTAGCTAATAATTGGGCATGGTGAAGTGGGTGGGCTTGGCAAGAAGTGGTTGGTAAAATGCTGTATGGTGGTAGTGTGTGTGTGTGTGTGTGTGTGTGTGTGTGTGTGTGTGTGTGTGTGTGTGTGTGTGTGTGTGTGTGTGTGTGTGAGTGTGTTCCTTTAGCTAAGAAGTGTGCATGGTAACACTGAGTGGTGAAGTGGGAGTATTCAGATTAAAAAGTGGGCGTGGTCCATTGGGAATTGTGAAGTGGTTAGCTGCACAGTGCAAATTGAAATATAAGATATAATAAATATATGCATTCATATGTCCACTGTACATTGCACAAACTCGATTTGAAGACTTCTTGATGAATAATTATGAGAGACTGATCGATCACATAGTACTGAGGACATCTGCAACATCACTGAGACATCAACAGTGTAGATTTAAACCTGCTAAATAGTGTAAAACTGAAATATTAACTTGTTTTCTTCTAAAATGTAAATCAATGTAAGCTGCTGTTGTCCTTCTCTTTGAACACAGACACCTAAAATCAGAGAGAATGTACTTTAGGCTTCATTAGCTTTAAAACAAAGTGAAGTGAAACTGTTATTGGCGTTGTAGGAAATCAGTGTGTGTGTGTGTGTGTGTGTGTAATTCAGGAGAGTCTGTTGTGCATCTCTCAGTATTAAAGCATGTGTTGAATGAGTATTTGTGAAGGTGCAGGTCTGACCTGCTGGTGACTCTTCAAACAGATCCGTCTGTCTGGGCCAATAAAACCATCAAACTTCACACAGACTCAGGCTTTGCTTTGATAAGTGCTTTTAAAGGGGGGCGGATTGGAAAATATACTGTGGCAGAGCAGGGTGTGTTTCTTTCACAAACCACAGTCAACCGTTAACCAAATATAGTGACAGCTTCCAGCGGTATCAGTCTGGTGTTCCCCAAACCAGAGAGCCAAAAACCTTGTGTGGTCGACCTGAACAGCACTCTTACATTACTTTACATGAGGATATAGAGGGATCCTTCTGTCTTGGATGATTTGAAAACACTGATTTAAGACTGAATACCACATTAAATCTAAGTATCAGGGTCTGGAGAAGTTTGAGAAGTTCTTGTAAATCTTAATAAGATCTCAGATTTGTTCTTTATGGTGAAGTGGGTGTGTCCAGCTAAGAAGTGGGCGTGGCAAAGCTATGCATAGTAAAGTGAGTCAAAAAATGCACAGTAAAACTGTAGTAGTGGGTGTGTCCATCTAATAAGTGGGTGTGTTTTAAAGTGAAGCGGACGTAGTCTGTATATGAAGTGGGTGTGTTCAGCTAAACAAGGCTTTGTAAAATAGTCAGTGGTGAAGTGGGTGTGTTCAGCTAAGAAGTGGGTGTGGTAAAATGTTGATTGATAAAGTGGGCGTGTTTAACTAAATGTTGTTACAATGTGGGTGTGGTAAAAGGCTGAATGGTGAAGTGGGTGTGTTCAGCTAATTAATGGGCAGGGTGAAATTATGAATAGTGAAGTGGGTGTGTCCATCTGATAATGTGGTAAAACACTGGGAGGTGAAGTGGGTGTGCTCAGCTAATAAGTGGGTGTGGTAAAAGGCTGGGTGACAAAGTGGGTGTGTTCATCTAATAAGAGGGCGTGGTAAAAGGCTGAGTTGCGAAGTGGGTGTGTTCAGCTAATAAGTGGGTGTGTTCAGCTACAATGTGGGTGTGGTAAAAGTCTGAGTGGTGAAGTGGGTGTGTTTAATTAATAAGTGGGTGTGGTCAAAGGCTGAGTGGTGAAGTGGGTGTGGTCATCTAATAAGTAGGTGTGTTCAGCTACAATGTGGGTGTGGTAAAAGTCTGAGTGGTGAAGTGGGTGTGTTTAATTAATAAGTGGGTGTGTTAAAAGGCTGAGTGTTGAAGTTTGTGTGTTCAGCTAATAAGTGGGTGTGTTCAGCTACAATGTGGGTGTGGTAAAAGTCTGAGTGGTGAAGTGGGTGTGTTTAATTAATAAGTGGGTGTGTTAAAAGGCTGAGTGTTGAAGTTTGTGTGTTCAGCTAATAAGTGGGTGTGTTCAGCTACAATGTGGGTGTGGTAAAAGTCTGAGTGGTGAAGTGGGTGTGTTTAATTAATAAGTGGGCGTGCTAAAAGGCTGAGTGGTAAAGTGGGTGTGTTCAGCTCATAAGTGGGTGTGTTCAGCTACAATGTGGGCGTGGTAAAAGGCTGCGTGGGAAGAATACCATGGGATTTTTTGTGTAATATTCCTAACCTTTAACGTTTCTTCTTAATAATTTATTTTATGGAGCGGATCCGGGTCTGTCCTGATTAAATAACTAATGTTTTGTGTTTCCCGCCAGCTAAAGGACACATTGACCAGCGTCTGCAGCAGGAGAAGCAGAAGCTGGAGTGCGGGGAGCAGCTGGAGGGACGGTACCTCACGTACTTTCTGTCTCAGGCCGGACTGCCACTCACTTCTGTGTACAGTAACGTGACGGAGCTGCTGCTCGCCGGCGTCGACACGGTACATCTCACACACACACTCCAGCATTCAGGACACTCACACATTAAGACATCAGCAACGCTTCTGAATCATCTTGTGAAGTACTGTTGATATCAGATATTCAATAATACAGTATAAAACTAATAATGCCAATATCATATAGCTAATTCTGTTACATTCTGGGAGATTGATACAAAGTTCAAATTCACAGGAGGGCCCATACTTTTGCCTTCAAGTGTATGCTTTACAAGCCTCACCACACAATCCTGATGTGTGTGTGTGTGTGTGTGTGTTCAGATTTCCAGCACGCTGTCCTGGTCTCTGTATGAACTCTCCCGTCATCCTGACGTGCAGACGGCGCTGCGGGACGAGGTGTTGAGCGTCATGAAGGGTCGCCGATCCGTCCCGCAGGCCAGTGATGTGGCCGCCATGCCTCTCCTGAAGGCCGTCGTCAAGGAAATCCTCAGGTATAAACCGACAGAAAACAGCTTTCTGCATCTACATCAAGAGTTCATCATCTCTAATGAAGCACTGGGTCTCTTCCAGACTCTATCCTGTTATTCCAGCCAATGCTAGAGTCATCAACAAAGACATCGAAGTCGGAGGATACGTCATTCCTAAAAACGTGAGTGTTGAAACATTTGCTTGGTTTCTGTAGTGTTAAAGATGCTGTGTAGAGCTTTGAAATGTTTTTCTTTATTAATAAAAAATAAGATGGACATTACAAAATATATAGATTAACTATCAATAATAAAATGAAATGAATATTAAAAATGAATAAATATGTAAACAAATAAAAAAACATCTTCTAAAACATAAAATGACTCATAGCCCCGGCCTTAATGACTGATAGCTCCACCCTACAGGACTGACAGCGCCTCCCTTAATGACTGATAGCTCCACCCTATAGGACTGACAGCGTGCCATAAAGGACTGATAGCTCCACTCTACCTTAATGATAATAGCCACGCCCTACAGGACTGACAGCCCCTCCCTTAATGACTGATAGCTCCGCCCTAATGGACTGACAGCCCCGCCTTTAATGACTTATAGCTCCAGCCTAAATGACTGATAGCACGACCCTAAAGGACTGATGGCTCCACCTTTAATAACTGATAGCTCCGCCCTACAGGACTGACAGCCCCGCCCTTAATGACTGATAGCCGTACCCTAATGGACTGATAGCCCCGTTCTGAAGGACTAATAGCTCTCCCTTAAAGAACTGAAAGCCCCGCCCTTAATAACTGATAGCCCCGCCCTGAAGGACTAATAGCTCCGCCCTACAGGACTGACAGCCCCGTCCTTGATGACTGATAGCCCTACCCTAAAGGACTGATGGCCTCGCCCTTAATGACTGATAGCTCCGCCCTAAAGGACTGACAGCCCCACCCTTAATAACTAATAGCTCCACCATAAAGGACTGATAACTCCACCCTAAATGATTGATAGCTCCACCCTAAATGACTGATAGCTCCACCCTAAATGATTGATAGCTCCACCCTAAATGATTGATAGCTCCACCCTAAATGACTGATAGCTCCACCCTAAATGACTGATAGCTCCACCCTAAAAGATTGATAGCTCCACCCTAAATGATTGATAGCTCCACCCTAAATGACTGATAGCTCCACCCTAAATGACTGATAGCTCCACCCTAAATGACCGATAGCTCCACCCTAAAAGATTAATAGCTCCACCCTAAATGATTGATAGCTCCACCCTAAATGACTGATAGCTCCACCCTAAATGACTGATAGCTCCACCCTAAATGACTGATAGCTCCACCCTAAATGATTGATAGCTCCACCCTAAATGACTGATAGCTCCACCCTAAATGATTGATAGCTCCACCCTAAATGACTGATAGCTCCACCCTAAATGACTGATAGCTCCACCCTAAATGATTGATAGCTCCACCCTAAATGATTGATAGCTCCACCCTAAATGACTGATAGCTCCACCCTAAATGATTGATAGCTCCACCCTAAATGACTGATAGCTCCACCCTAAATGACTGATAGCTCCACCCTAAATGACCGATAGCTCCACCCTAAAAGATTAATAGCTCCACCCTAAATGATTGATAGCTCCACCCTAAATGACTGATAGCTCCACCCTAAATGACTGATAGCTCCACCCTAAATGACTGATAGCTCCACCCTAAATGACTGATAGCTCCACCCTAAATGATTGATAGCTCCACCCTAAATGACTGATAGCTCCACCCTAAATGATTGATAGCTCCACCCTAAATGACTGATAGCTCCACCCTAAATGACTTATAGCTCCACCCTAAATGACTTATAGCTCCACCCTAAATGATTGATAGCTCCACCCTAAATGATTGATAGCTCCACCCTAAATGACTGATAGCTCCACCCTAAATGATTGATAGCTCCACCCTAAATTACTGATAGCTCCACCCTAAATGATTGATAGCTCCACCCTAAATGACTGATAGCTCCACCCTAAATGATTGATAGCTCCACCCTAAATGACTGATAGCTCCACCCTAAAAGACTGATAGCTCCACCCTAAATGACTGATAGCTCCACCCTAAATGACTGATAGCTCCACCTGATAGGTGGACTGATAGAAGTATAGAAAGTCATTTTGACCGGGGTGGGGGGGGGGGTGTTGTGGTTTTGATGAAAGATTCTGAGGGCAGATTAATGTTTCTCAACAGTGCAGTGCACAGAGACAATACCAGCACTATGGTATACCTATAATAAAGCAGAGTGAACCGGTTTGGTTGTTCTGCACTGAGGGTGGTGTTCTTCTCTTGCGCAGACTCTGATCACGCTCTGTCATTACGCCACGTCTCGAGACCCTCAGCAGTTCAGAGATCCAGACTCCTTCAGGCCGCAGCGCTGGGGGGACCGCTCTGACCGCAGTCACCCGTACGCCACCGTGCCCTTCGGTGTGGGCAAACGCAGCTGCATCGGCCGCCGCATCGCCGAGCTGGAGGTGTACCTGGCGCTGTCTAGGGTAGGTCAAACATCTGTGCTACATCAACTGATTAGGCAGTTATATATCTAAACTAACTTTGCACTTGATGCAAAGCCTTTTATACAATAAAAATAAACTTAAAAAGCACATCTTAGCTCAAAATATAGGCAGTGCTTTCCCTCAAAGCTGCAGAAGAAGCCTAAAGAGCTTCACATCAGGCGGGAGTTTTGGATTTCTCAAGCTGTTACAGGTGTAAATCCCCCCAGATCAGCCAGACTCCTGCATCCTCACATGTGCACTGTTATCTGCCGGCTTATTTGCTGCCTGTGATTTCGAGATGAGCTGTGCACTCGTATTAATAAAGGATGATCTACAGTTATATTTGTGGTGTCTTGATCATGCATTCATTCAGATGCGCTTGTCCTCACAGATCTTGATGCACTTTACCGTGGAGCCGGCTAGACAGGACGATACGGTCCATCCCATGACCAGAACTCTGCTGGTTCCAGAGCGGCAGATCGACCTCCGCTTCACTGAGCGCTGATCTGGGGTCAGAGGTCGACAGGACATGCAGAACTGACCATCTCTAATGTCCAGATCCAGAGACACTGGGAAACACTGGACGTCCAGCACCGAGCCCTGAGGTACACCATTGAGACATGGAGCCAGACTGATCAGAGAACAGCGGTGTGTGTGTGTGTGTGTGGAGACTGAATCTGATTCACCACCCAAACACAGCGGAGGAAACCACAGATCCAGAGTTGGCCAAAAATACACACGTGCTCAGTGGGAGTGTTGGGGGGCGCATTACAAGTAGCCAGAGTTACGTAATAATATTACTAACGACTGAAACAATGCATTACCTAAACAAACAGAGGAATAATACTGGAGTTACTCTTTTGTTTAATTAATGAAGGATGAGAGAACGCATTCATTATTCAGAACACGTGGAGGAAAGGAAAAGGCAGGATAGTCTCAATCACACTGATTTACTGCACTGATAAGACTAAAAGGGGCGGCACGGTGGCGCAGTGGGTAGCGATGTTGCCTCACAGCAAGAAGGTCGCTGGTTTGAGTCCCGGCTGGATAAGTTATAGTGTATCAGTGTGAATGAGAGCATATGGGTGTTTCCCAGTACAGGGTTGCAGATGGAAGGGCATCCGCTGTGGAAAACATATGCTGGAAAAGTTGACGGTTCATTCCGCTGTGGCGACCCCTGATTAATAAAGGGACTAAGCTGAAAATGAATGAATGAATGAGTCTCAGTCACACTGATTTTAGTGCACTAATAAGACTAAAAGGGGCGGCACGGTGGCTCAGTGGTCAGCACTGTGACTTCACAGCAAGAAGGTTGCAGGTTCGAGTCTCTGCTGGGTCAGTTGGTGTTTCTGTGTGGAGTTTGCATGTTCTCCCCGTGCTCTGGTTTCCTTCAAAGTCCAAACACATGCGCTATAGGGTAATTGGGTCGGCTAAAATGTCCATAGTGTATGGGTGTTTCCCAGTACTGGGTTGCAGCTGGAAGGGCATCCGCTGCGTAAAACATATGCTGGAAAAGTTGACGGTTCATTCTGCTGTGGCGACCCCTGATTAATAAAGGGACTAAGCTGAAAATGAATGAATGAGTCTCAGTCACACTGATTTTACTGCACTAATAAGACTGAAAGGGGTGGCACGGTGGCTCAGTGGTCAGCGCTGTGGCCTCACAGCAAGAAGGTCGCTGGTTTGAGCCTCGGCTGGGTCAGTTGGTGTTTCTGTGTGGAGTTTGCATGTTCTCCCCATGTTGGGGAGAACATGCAAACACAGTCCAAACACATGTGCTATGGGGGAATTGGGTTAGCTAAATTGTCCGTAGTGTATGAGTGTGTGTCCTGGTCCTCCAGGTTGGGGTTTGAGCATTGGGCTAATGACCCACCTCATAAAAGTGCGATGTTACAGAACATCAACATGGTGTGGCTAAATATCACCTTCAATATAAACAGCCCTGGGAGTGAGTGAGTGAGTAAATAATAGGACTAAAAGTACAACAACATTAAGCGCACAGCATTAAACTGTCATTAATCTGTATATACAGCATGGAGAGCTCTGCCTCAGGGAGATCAACAGTATCCTACATTAGTTTTTCATGTGTTTTTAAGGTAAATAAAGGTGCAGGTTATAAAAAAGGTCACTAATGAACGCAACTAGTGACGTTTAGGAGAGTAGCATATCAATACTGTAATGCATTACTTTCAGAAGTAACTTCCCCCAGCACGGCTCATTGGGATTACGTGCACAAGTCTGTCTGCGAGCTGTGAAATACATTGCTTCAGTGACGATTCCTTGCAGCTTGTGTTCTCGATTCCACCAGAGGGCACTGTCTGCAGGGTTTATTATACGGGCCATTAACACATCTGGGTGCGCATCCATGGGGCTTGTTGTGCATAATAGATGACCTCATGATCAATAATGTTTTCATAAGCATAGAGAAGACAAAAGCACATCACAGTTTAGTAGATTTACACATTCCTGCTAACATTGGGAGCTCAAATAAGCCATAATGAATAAGCCAAGATGGACATGTTTACATGTTTTTATAATAATAATGTTTATTTGTCTGTTTAAACATACCCAAATCCGGAAGTGTCCACGTTAGAGTTAGTGTACAGAACAGTGGAATTGGCTTTCATGAAAAGGAAGGAGCATTCATTTCAGTGTTTTCAACACAACATTAAACGAAAGCATAATCCTCTTAGATGGTCTAGAAAGCAAATAAAATATAGAAATAGAAATATTTTCTATTACTATATTATTGAATTATAGAAATATTAAAATAAGTGCAGATATTAGTGAGCAAAAGCAGTGCTGATTCACTAATAACTGCTCATCATGAGAATCCTGCAATGCTTAGAAATGAGCTGAAAATAGAGATCAGCATGGAGAGGAGCAGGTCAAGGTCTTGGTAGAGCAAATATTTGGTGCTAATATGATTTTTCTGGTCCTACTTTATTTTAAGATACAGTTCTCATTATTAATAAACCATTAACTATGACTTCTGCCTCAAACTCCTCATTTGCTGCTAGTAATAGTAGTAGTTTAGGGATTGGTATTGGCTAGATCATGCAGATATGTGCTTTATAAGTACTAATAAGCAGACAATATCATAATAACATGCAGGTAACACAGTGCTAATTAACAGTGAGGATTGAAACTTGCACTAAAGTGTTATTTTATATTTGTTCTGAAACAGTATTTGGTCTTAAATGTTCATTGGGAACTCCGTCATCATACATGTGGCTGTTTTATTATCTACATTTGCATTTATTAAGGCTGAATATGCTTTTAATTAAAGTGACCAGGATAAAGGAAGCACTTCAGTATATACTGATCCCATGACTAAATTACTGTAGTATTTTTTAAATATATATTATATACATTATTGAGTCTTTGTAATGGAATGTTTGTCAGAAAGTGTCTGGTGCATATGAAACAACTTTTCATACACAAAAAGCACATTAAATGCAAGTAAAGTGCAATATAAAGCTGTCTGAAATGTGTACTGTATATACTGATACTGTATATTTGTCAAAGTGAAGCCTATTCTGAGCTGTACTTAATAAAAATATCACAGAATACATGATAGTGAATGTGAATCTGTTTGAAAAACTCCTTATCAAGTGTGTAAATGAGAAGATTTCAGAAGCTAATGACTGAGTGATCATTAAACAGAGTCTTTTAACAGGACAGGACAAATAAATCTTGTTTTAAGTAGGACTATATGTTTGGACATAGAAACGAAGGTTTCTCTAAATCACGTGTTAGTGTTTGCCTTCTGAACATCAGGGGAAAAACAGGTTATGTTACTCAGGCAAAATAGGATTAGTAAACATGTAAATATGCACTTACTTTTAATTACCTTATTTTACCTTAATCACCAGAACAACAACTGATTCTGATTTAATGCACAAAAAAATTAAGAGCATTTACTATGAATACATTTTTAACAAATTTAATCCATGAATATATCAAAATCAATTTTCTTATTAATTATAATAATTCCCTGGAGCTTACATTTAAGTGTAATGGTGATATCTGCACCCTCAGACTCCAGATTTTCCACATTTTGTCATCAATGTAAACCTTATTCATTCCGCTTTCAGATGATGTAAAAATCTCGATTTTAAAAAAATGACTCTTTTGACTGGCTCTGTGCTCATATTGTAATGCATGAGGGCAAATAAAGCTGGAAAAGATCAAGAAGAATGAAAGTGGGTAAAGCAGTGTTTTTGTCAGCAATGCACCAAATCCAGAACATCTTACTTGCAGCTCTTATAGTTTAGTGCATGGTAATTCCTCAAAAGCTTATTTAACCTACTTACAGTGAGGACTAATTCCAGCACACCGGGGTTTCTGAGAATCACAGTTATTCTGTTCTGCTGAAACAAAAGCTGACGGACAATTCTCTGGACACAATTCTGTGAGCAAAAGCTTGCAAAATATCTTGTTGCATGTGCATTAACAGTTCAGTGCCTAAATGATCATGTTTTGAGCGTGCAAAATGTTGTTTTGGATGCATGTTAACAATATTGTGCACAAATAATCATGTTAAGTATGAAAATGGATTGTTGCATGCATATTTACAATTCTGAGCGCAAAATATCATGTTTTGAGCATGCAAAATGACCTGTTGCATGGTTTAAACATGAGGTGTTATACACAGAAATGTTAATGCACATGCAACTATCTAATGTGCAATCTAAAACATGATCATTTGTACGCATAACTGTCGCAAATCTAACCCCATATACACAAGGCCACAGTGTGTTTGAGGATCACAGCCAACACCAGCAGGGTTCAAAGTGACAACCAGAAGTGCTTTACTGAGAAACGATTAGCTGCAGCTTTATCAATCTAACCTTTCAGACAACACGGCAAGATTAAAAGTCAATGCAGACTCCTCCAGCAACGCTAAATACACTCTCTCAGGCGAATATTCAGCGCTTTATGGACATCCGTGTCATCTGGAATCTGTTTTACAGCATAACAGGAAATAAATGTAAGAACTTAAGTATATTAAAAGCTCAATTGCAAGTTGTTTGAACATTGCCAAGCTCAAATAAACAAACAGCTTACAGAAAAGCTTCCCAGTGTTAATGTAAGAGCAATCAAGAGAGTCCTTATGGCAAGCACCTTTAACTTACTAAAACTATAATACACTTTACTATAGTATGGCTCAGAAACACTTTAAACTACTTTAGTGTTATTTTCCTCAGGGTAGCCCTTCCTACCCCTTCTCATATAGTAAGTACATGAAGTTAAATGATGCTACTCAGTACTTAAATATTATGTAGTTGCAAGGTAAAAAGGAAATAAAACACTAGTAAATAGTGATTAATTACCGGTACTTAATGGAACTGATAACAGTATTTAAAAATATATATTTGTTGCCTGAAAACAGACATTGTTTAAATGTTAAAATTGCTTGTCTTAGTGATTCACTACAGCAAATACAAACATGACAGAGGAGCGCCACCTGCTGGAGCATCAGTGTAAACCATCACAACAGCCACATCGCACAACACAAGAAGAAACTAGTCAAATGGAGCTTTATTTAGCTTTTAGACACAATATAAAAGATAAACGTTTGAGTTTGTGTTGGTCTGTAGTAGCCTATGATATGGTGATAGCATGAAGGAAAAAATAACAACTCGTTTATATTCATAAACCCAAACTGAGCACATAAAAAAGCCTTGATAGTGTCAATACTAAAGCTCTGGAGTTTAAAAACATTCACAATATGATTAAGAAATAATATATTAACAAATCTGTTCTTCATATAGGCCCATTGCTCCAAAGGTGTGGAATTCCTTACCTGCTGAATGTTTAGAAATGCCTTTAAACATTTTAGTGCTGTGTTGTTTTGGGATGTAATGCACTATTTATAGGGTATCCCTTCTTTTTTTGTTTCTAATATTTGACCAAAATATTGACTATGAATCAAAATATTTGCATTTAATAACATGTATTATTATGACTATAAATCTTTCTCAAAGGTCCCACTGCTATTTACACCATCAGTATCACCGTATTATAGTCATGCTTCATATTAAATCACTTTGTATATATATGACAAATGCAGCAATGCATCATGTTCGCTAAAAAACGGTGGGTTGTTTTAACCCAACTCTGAGTTACATATGGTCAAAACCAAATTGGGTGATTTTTTAACACACACACACACACACACATATATATATATATATATATATATATATATATATATATATATATATATATATATATATATATATATATACAGTTGAAGTCAGAATTATTATTATTGATTTTTCTTCTTTTTTAAATATTTCCCAAATGATGTTGAGCAGATTGAGGAAATGTTCACAGTATGTCTGATAATATTTGTTCCTCTGGAGAAAGTCTTATTTGTTTTATTTCGGCTAGAATAAAAGCAGTTTTTAATTTTTTAAACACCATTTGAAGGTCAATATTATTAGCCCCTTTAAGCTATTTTTGTTTTCGATAGTCTCTAGAACAAACCATCATTATAAAATAACTTGCCTAATTACCCTAGTGAAGCCTTTAAATGTCACTTTAAGCTGTTTGTGTCTCACGGCAATTCGTAACTTTTTGATTTAGTGGCTAATTCGAATGAATTCGTTCGATCTAATTCGTACTATTTAGTACGATTTGCCCATCACCCGATGATGGTTGGGTTTAGGGGCAGGGTTGGGTGCCACGCCTCCTTTTTAAAGTCTTACATTTTCATACAACTAAATTAATTTACATTTTGCCATCCTATCCCACTATCAGCCAGTAAAAAGGTTTTTTTCCCCCATATTTCTCCCATATTTTTAATCTTCCAATAAAGACTGTCAACAAACATCATCAAAGACCCGATCCTCCATATAAGCATAGCACTGCCGAACCACCTTCTTAATTACTTAAATGTGATGCTTTGATCAATTCAACAGTTTATTTACATTGAAACAGCTCCAGATGAGTCGATTTAATAATTTCTGGTATTTCTGGGAGGATATTTTCACATCCAATGTTCATAAGTATGAATAAGTAGTATGATTAAGCCAGTAGTTCACAGCATGATTTGTGACCTAAGCTAAATTGTCCCATTGTTTATTGAAGACAACAGTCCGCTAATGCTTATTCCTGCTCTGTGTTCAGTCTCTGACAGAGCAGTCAGTATCTGCATCTTCAGTCGGTTCCCCAAACTCAGTCATATCATCTTCCTCGGTCTCAGAGTCTGGAGCCGTGTGTTTGCGAATACGACTCACTGCATCCCACAGAGATCTGACCTGCGGGATTACGGCTTTGTGTTTAGAGGGTGATGGAGTACAGAGTAAATCCTCATCAGGCTTGCCTGTCGACCATTGGAGATTTTCAGTAGTATCAGGAGTTGAAGAACAAGCTGTACAGCTTGCTTGAATGCTTGGAGAAACTTCAGGATTACTAGACCATTGAAGAAACTGTGGTTTGTTTTCAGTTAGAGAAATACAAGGAGTATCTGAGACATGTGGACCATCCAAAGTGTCAGAAGCGAAGGTAAATGGCAAGGAATCTGAAGAGATTGATCTTTGGGGAGGGTTGGTACCTTCGGTGAAAGGTGAATCACCTCGCTGTAGGCAATCTTGAATTTGCATGGCCTTTTCTACACTTATCTGAAAGAAAGATGTTGAGTGATCCAAAGCAAGTTCTCTGTGATCATCAGTTTCATTTCCATCACATTTTTCAGAAGCAAAGGTGAACGGCGAGGAATCTAATGAGGTTGATCTTTGGGGAGAGTTGGTACCTGTGGTGGAAGGTAAATCATCTTGGTGTAAGCAATCTTGAATTTGTTTGCCATTTTCTGCACTTATCTGGAAAACAGACGTAGAGCAATCCAAAACCAGTTCTCCATGATCACCTGTTTCATTTGAACCATCCAAGGTGTTGAAAGCAGATGTAAATGGCAAGAAATCTGAGAAGGCTGATTGTTGGAGAGAGTTGGTACCTTCTGTAAAAGGTAAATTATTTTGGTGTACACAATCTCGAACTTCTTTTGCATTTTTGGCACTTATCTGGAACAAAGGTGTAGAGTGATCCAAAACAAGTTCTCTGTGATCATCTGTTTCATTTCCATCACATTTTTCAGAAGCAAAGGTAAATGGCAAGGAATCTGAAGAGGTTGATCTTTGGGGAGAGTTGGTACTTGTGGCGAAAGGTAAATCATCTTGGTGTACACAATCTTGAACTTCTTTGGTACTTTCGCCACTTATTTGGGACAAAGGTGTAGAGTGATCCAAAACAAGTTCTCTGTGATCGTCTTGTTTATTTGCACAATTCAATTTTTCAGAAGTAAAGGTAAAGGAATCTAAAGAGATTGTCCTTTGGACATCTGCGGCGGAAGGTAAATCATCTTGATGTACACAGTCTTGAACTTGTCTGACATTTTCTGCACTTATCTTTTTAAAAGGTGTAGAATGATCCAAAACAAGCACTTTGTAATCAGCTATTTCATTTGGACCATCTAAACTGTCAGAAGCAAAGCTAAATGGCAGTAAATCTGAAGAGGTTGATCTTTGGAGAGAGTTGGTACCTTTGGTGGAAGGTAAATCATCTTGGTGTACACAATCTAAAATTTCTTTGGCATTTTTTGATGGTGTAGAGTAATCCAAAGCAAGTTCTCTGTGATCAGCTGTTTCAAGTCTGTGATTGTCTTCTGTTGAGCTGTTCTCACTAAGGTCCTCTGAGGTGTCTGTTTCACACTTCTCATCATCTTCTGTTTTGTGCAATGTTAGTCTATTTTCTTGCTCTGTTTCTCCATTCAGATGTCTTGTGGTCTGTTCAGGTTGCATCATAAAAGTCTCGAATGTGAGATTTTCATCTGCTAAAGCTATAAACTCTTCAAGCATGACTTCAGGTTCTCTTGCAATGCTTTGGTCATCCATTATGTTGAATGATTCCTCTAGATGTTGTCCATTACTCACCAGTGTTGTCCCACTGAAGGGTTTGCTTTCATTCTGGAGCTCAGTAGTTTCAGATTCCTCAGTCTCTTCTATTAGACCTTCTTCGTGACTCTGATGGTCTTGTTCTTGTGGAGTGATCTGTTCTCCTGTCTTGAGATGATCATCTGGTTTTCCAGATATATCTATTGCTTCCTCATCCAGAGTTTGGTTTTCAGGATTGTCTAGTTTAGTGTTGGTTCTGCTGTTCTTCTTTTGCTCATCTGTCTCCTCGCTAGTTCTGGATATAGGAGATTCCTCTGTCAAACACACATATTGGACATGCTCCTTCTCTGGAAGAAGAACAAGCTCAACCTTTACAACTACACAAGTGGCATCAATGACCACCAGACTCTCTGTGTTGGTGATCTCTGGGATTTGCTCAATTCTTTCCTCCATTAAGTTGTGCTGAAGTCTAGGCTCTTTCCACAATGGGAACTTCTCGGACATTGGTTTCTCTTGTCCTGAAGATTGCAGGCTTTCTTTATTTCCATCTGGGATTGCTGCAGAACTGGAATCTTCAACAGTTGTGGGTTGTTCCCGAAGTGTATTTGCATTCTCTCTGTGCTTCTGCTTCTCTTGATTATCTTTCAGATTCTGCTGGGGGGTGTCTGCAATCTTCTCCATAGGTTTGGACTCAGTTAACAGGGGTAAAACACAGGACCTGAGGGGCTCCTCTGGAGATCTGGATACCCCAGACACTTCTCCCATCCGAGAGACCAGACAGAACACAGTCTCGCCCCCTCTCCATCTGGAGAGTTTGCTCTGCTTTGCCTCAGTCACACCTGGAGATGTCATTGGTTGAGTCTTCAGATTGAGAAACTTTGTTTGTGGAGCATTCTGTGCTATATTCTGCCAGTTTCCTCCACTCGAGATGCCACGACAGCAACTCTCGATGTTCTGCAAACATTGTCCATTGCTTGCTAAGCCACTATGGCGTGTTTCTGTCAAATTTGGAATGTTTTCAAATGTTTGCTCACTTCTCGTCTGTGCAATGCCTTTAGATCCTCCATCCTTTGGGGAAGAGTAAGCTGGTGGTGCTGTGTAAGATGGAGGCTGTCTGAAGGAATGCGTTGTGAATGTACTTTCCATATTTCTCCACATGCAAGGATTCTGTTCTGTTTTGGATGCAGTCGGCTGGAATCTTTCATGCCCATATCCTGATACTTCCTCAGTTCCTGAAGCACATCTCCAGTCCCCAAATGCAGATCCCTGAGGACGATATTGCAGATCAGCTGGAAGATTGTGTTGGCTGAGGTCTTCTCTTGTTTTTCTCCAGTGTTTTGGCCATGTGTTTTTCCATGCTTCCCGCATCTCTCGTTCTTGATGCCTCACTTTATCGCATCTCTGCTTTTCTCTTAGTACGAGGTTTCTCACTTCGCTGATGTATTCGGCGAGCTCTCTGCGAGATAGTTTTCTCTGGGAGGGATATGTGGTTGGTACGGGTGTCTGGTTCTGCTGGGTGGTGTGATAGATGTTGCGTGCTGCTCTGGAGTGCTGGGTCAACCAGGTGTTTGGGTCACTGCTGTCTGACAGGTAAGAGGAGGTTGGGTCATGCTGGAGTCTGCAGAGATGAACAACAGTAATGCTCAGCTGGAGGAAAAGGACAATGGGTCTCATTCACTACTGATTGTTTACATTTTTTTCGCATTTATTTGCACATCTGAACTTCTCATAACATTCACAACACATGCATATGCACATGTGTGTTCTTAAATGGTTAGTTCACCCAAAAATATAAATTCTGTTAATATTTACTCACCATTGACGTCTTCTTTCAAAGCCTTTTTAAACCTGTTTAAGTTTTTTTTTTCTGTTAAACACAAAAGTCTTGACTTCCATAATATTTGTTTATCCTACTATGGAGGTCAATGGTTATGGGATTATAACATGTTTCAGAATATCTTCCTTTGTGTTCAACAGAAAAGAAACTCAAACAGGTTTGGAACCACTTGAGGCAGATTAAATAGTGAGTATATTTCCATTTTGGGGTGAATTGTCACTTTAAATGTGTTCTTCTGTTAGTAATTTGCATAATACATGCCCACACCAGCTCCATATAAGGGCTTTCCTGCAAAGCGGCACTTGTTTTATTCAGAAAAACTGTTTTAATCCACAGATAAAGAGTTTTAATCGACACCTACCTGTACTGTATGGTTATTCTAACATAAGCTGCATTTACATTTAGCATTTTATATTTTAAAATTCTCTGTTTATGTTTTAGAAATTTATATTTAAGAATTTTAAGTTTATATTTTACAATTTAGGGTAACACTTTATAATAACTACACACTATGAGTCATTTACTAAGCATTAGCATCTGGTGAATTCATTATTTGTTAAGCATTAACTCTACATTAATAAACGTTAGTAAGCAGTTTATAACTGCAGCTACAAATGCTCTATTCTAGACATAAGCTCCTATATAATGTGTTTAATAATTGTATTTTCATACTTAGTTAATGATTTATATTTCATTACTAACTTAAGTATTGCATTATTTACAAACGAGTTGTATTTACGAGTAGTTCAGGGTTTTTGGGATAATTCAAAATGAGTTAGTAAATGATTAATAAACTATTGAAATCAACATTTATATATCTTGTTATTCAGGCATATACTAATAGTTAACTAGTATGTTAATAAATGCTTTATTAATTCAGCTTCATGCAGTTTTGTGACCTAATCTAAATTGGGGACTATTTATGCTTTATAAATCCCTTATAAATGACTATTACAGGCTCAGAATCAAATGAACAATAATCTTTGCAATCTTTTCTAAAAAGTAAAATTACTGTAAAGTTTAAACATGAATAACAGTAGTGTTTAATAATCCTAAAAACCCTCAACTATTCTTAATTACAAACAGCTTGTAAATAATGTGATACTTCATTTGGTAATGAAAAATAAATCATTAACTAAATATGAAATTACAATTGTTAAACACATTATATAGGTGCTTATAAGTCAAGAATGGAGCATTTGTAGCTGCAGTTATAAACTGCTTACTAACGCTTATTAATGTAGAGTTAATGCTTAACAGATAACGAATTCACTACTTGCTAATGCTTAATAAATGATTGATAGTGTGTAGTTATTATAAAGTGTTACCCTAAATTGAGTTCATATTTTAGAACACTTTAGAATCTTCTGTTAATACTTTTTTAGTCAGGGTTTAATTTTTAAGTCAATAAGTTAATTTGAGTGATTATTATAAAATCTTTATGGTTATTATTATCATTCTTGATGTGATTGAGGTCTCACTGCATTTGCACAGTTTAGTTACTTAAAGAATGTAAGTTTAGTTATATAAAGCCCTTCAACCAGAAACTACACTTAAAGAATAATCATGATTACGTTTATGATTAACAGTTTGTAACATTTTGATTTTATTTAATTTGTCAGGTTTTTAAATGTATGGCACACACTGCTTTATATTAGGTTATGTTTGTATTTTTTATTGTAGTGTTTATCTTACCTGCTGAGTTTCAAAACTGAATAAACTCTACAGATCTTTATACTGACAAAAAAGTCTCTTCTGCAAACTGTAAATCACACATAGTGCTTGTGTGTTATCTGTTGATGCTCTCATGACGACAGCTTTAATGAATGTAACATTTGACATGTTTTAATTAAACATTTGAAAGAACTTACACGTGTGAATGACGGCGTCCAGGAAAAGTGCTGTATCTGAAGCAGGACGGGTCCTTCTGTCTGTAATCCTGAAACAGGAGTCAGAAAACAATATATTGGCTTTCCATGTGTCAAAACAGCAACCTTTCTTTATTCAGTATTAGTGAAGAATTATAGCAGTATTATTCTTTCATTAACAACACACTGCATTCATACCATTTCCCCAGTTGAAAGCATCCCAGAATGAACAGAGCTCAGTAAACGGATCCTGCACTGCTGTGGTCTGCTGTGCTGTCCGGTCAACAGCAGAGCTCAGTCTGCGGTGGGTGTGGCTTTGAAGAGGGGCTGGCCATAATAAGGGCGTAGTCCCGCCCTCTTCTTCTCCACAGCGACAGTAGAGTTAAAAAAAAGAGTTTGGCTTGCGGCGGGTGGGGCTTTGATGAGGGGCGGAGCCATGATGGAGCCTCAGTCCCACCCTCTTTTTCAAAACAACAGTAGAGCTCAGAAATGTGCTTGGTTTGTGGCGGGTGGGGCTTTGAGGAGAAGAGGAGGAGCCTTGCTTATGCCCCAAAATCTCATGCTTATTCACTTTTCCATGCCAGTTAAATAGTGCACCATTTAAATGATATACCACTATTTAATATAACAATAATAATATAACAATAATACATCATTTAAATAGTAGTGCATTCACACTTAATAAAGGGGGAGGGGCTTCTGCTGAAGGGGAGGAGTTGCTGGTGGGGGGAGGGGATTCTGATGCCGCACAGGAATAGACCAATCTGTCGTGGGCGGGATAGGAGGGGCCATAGTGATGCTCCTCCTCTCCGTGTCAGCCACGCCCTCTGCTTCTCCACAGCATCAGTTCAGGAAAGAGCTCTGTCTGTTGTGGGCTGGGCTTCAATGAGAGGAGGGACCATGGTAATTCTCCATCCTTTCAGCCACGCCCTCTGCTTCTCACTCTTCTTTAGTGGAAAAGCAGAAGGGGCGTGACTGGAGGGGTGGGGCATCAATATGGACACTTCTCTAATCCAAGCCATGCCCCTCCTGCTTCTCCACACGCAGCAGCAGATGCAGGAGGAGTGAAACCCTGCAGATCCTGAACTCACAAACACAAACACCTCCACCACATTCTCCCTGTTAATATCACACACACACACACGATCGGGCGCTGCCTGTGTGGAATGTGTCGCTCAGCACAAACTGTGATTTTCATTGTTTCTACAACAAAGCCTGATGTTTGACTGATCTATGAACACGCTGTAAAAAATAAAAGATAAAGCAAGATTATTTCACTAACTCCACTGGTGGATTATTTTGCTTGTTTAAGGAAAAACTCACTTCATTTTGACTCATTATTTCTTAAAACAAAATTATACTTTTTGTTTGTCGAGACAATTCTGTTTTTTTTAGAAATGTTGAGATATTTGGACTGGACAAAAACTCTAAGTATAATCTAGTGTAATCTAAAGTGAGAACTATTTATGCTTTGTGAATCTCTTATAAATGACAGTGAATGACCTGGTGTGTGTTTGCGGTGTGTGCCTGGGCTGATGAACACACACACTGCTGGGGTTTTCTGCTGAATGGATGTAAAGCTGCCTTTCACTGAATCTCTCCAGCGTATTAAACCGGCTTTTCTCTCTGAACCAAACTCTGCGCATCAGCAGGACGGACGTCTGATCATCTGTGGATGAGATCATGCTTTGTGTTCAGTGCCAGGCCACTCCATGGACCAAATTGCATATACTTTATACTTTAAAGGGCACTTATTATGCGAAAATGACTTTAATGCGGGGTTTAAATATCTCCAGCAGCCTCTGATGCTCAACATGAGTTAATTGTGTTTGTTCTAATCAGACTTGATCAAAACAGTCTGCAGAGACACTGTGATTGACATTCTCCCTTTGTACGTGTCATCACAAGGGGAAAGCCCCGCCCACTAGTCCCCATCTCTCCTCATTAGCATAAAAAGCCGCCCTGAGTGAGAAGCAGCCGTCTGTCCATTAGCCATGAGAGTTTTCACAACACAGAATATTAAATAACGCAGATAGTTTTAAATGCTTTCTTATTGACGTTGAAATTGTATTTAAGTACCAAGTTCCAATTCTTAAAAATAAAATAAAAAAATGAGAAAACATACATAAATACATATTAACGTTCATATGTTGTTTTTTTTATCTAAATATTGAAAACTTTCAGGGATTTAAGATGCTGATGACACCTCATTAAACGCTTCATTAGAGTCTTGTGAAAAGGGTCCATAGAGTTTACACTGGCTGCATGACACTGCAAAACTATGGGATATTGTTGTTGAGTGTTACCATAACGATATTTCCAATCACATATTATTTCCATGTAAAAACGCTATTTTATTTGCTGTTTCTAAATCATTTATTGATTTAATGATTTTAAAATGTACAGGCAAAAATGTTATTTTTCAGATCTAATTAATTCTAATTCAAACTAAAACAACAACAGCAACGTGTCGAGCTGCAAACATTTAGTCTTTAAAACACTACGAATGAGTGAAAACCTGATATGCAGATATTCTGACTCTGATTGGCTGTTGTCATTCTCCTTTCTGGACTCCACCCATAAGTGTTTATTTTCAGCTCTGGGTTCAGGACACTCCAGCCAATAACAGAACAGCCACTACTGGGGAGGCGCGACTAAAGATATTATGGCCCCATCTGATTGATCTAATTTAGATAAACAATCAATGAAAAAGAATGTATATTGCAAATACTAATATTGCGATAACAATAATATTATGCATTTATTTATATTTGTATTGTGAATGAAGATAAATATACTGTGATGTATTTATTCAGAAATGAAGATTTGAAGTGTTGAGTCTGCTCATGATTAGCCCCGGCTCCTCCATCCCACTGAGAAGCAGCCATCATCTCACATTGTGTGTAACTTGTTATTTTCCTCATTCTCTGCCTGACTCATACGGTGATTGTGATGATCATAAATACAGTTTTAAGCTCTTTGCAATCCTCTTGACATGGGAGGAGTTACTCGAACATGCAAGAGCCACATCCAGAGTATGTCCAGATATTTTAAACAAAAGATTATTTTCTTACAAACACTATCTGCTGCCAGTTACTGCTGAGCACAACACATGCAGATTATTAATAGGTTCATTAACATTCATTCATTCATTTTCTTTTTCAGCTTAGTCCCTTTATTAATCAGGGGTCACCACAGCGGAATGAACTGCCAACTTATCCAGCATATGTTTTTCACAGAAGATGCCCTTCCAGCTGCAACCCATCTCTGGGAAACACCCATACACACTCATTCCCACACATACACTACGGACAATTTAGCCTACCCAATTCCCCTATAAGCGCATGTGTTTGGACTGTGGGGGAAACCGGAGCACCCAGAGGGAACCCACACCAACCCGGGGAGAACGTGCAAACTCCACACAGAAACACCAACTGACCCAGCCGAGGCTCGAACCAGAGACCTTCTTGCTGTAAGGCGACAGTGCTACCTACTGCGCCACCGCCTCACCGGTTTATTAATGTTATTTTTTAATTTTAATTAATTTTAATTTAATTTATTTTGTCAGCAGCAAACGTCCATCTATACAGACAGTTTTGACAATAATTATTAATAATTATTTATAAAACTGAACCATAGTTGAACATTTATTTAGTTAGCATTTCCTGTTACGTTTTAGCAGTTTTCTTATTGCTGCGTTTTTGAGTCATTTTTTTTCCTGAAGAGTTTTTTACTTTACTTTACGAATATCAGGTTTGTTTTCCTCGTTGTGGATCTCACATCTGAAGTCGGAGCTGATGGTCGCTGTGAGCCGGAACGAAAATACAGCACAACTTGTTTCCACTCTCAGTCGGACTTATTTCGTCTAGCGCATAACACACGCACAGTTCAGCATGGACGAAAGCGCGCAGCGGGTACTGGAGCATCTGACTGAGGTAGAGGTTGCTGCAGAAGACATACTCACCGACAAACAACAGGTGCGATTGAGTTATAGGAGCAGTCAATTATCGGGTAATTTCTGTTTTATATGTGGTGTTTATTGAAGTGGTTGACATGTGACAGATTGTGGATCTGGATGTGCGGAGAAACAGAAACCGAGAAGCTCTCAGCGCGTTAAGAAACAACTCACCAAACGGCGAGTACAGACTACAGAATACTGGTTTATAATGCATTAATGGCACATATGCTTGGTGTTGGATGCAGTGTCATGCGTATAAAACTTGTACTACGTATAAAGCACATATATAAGTACACGTATCTTCCAAAGTAATAAATATTTCATTTATAATGTGTCAGTAATAGGGTTATTAAGCTTATAACCACACCTAATGTAACACCCCGGTATGTTTACTACAGGTTTATTTTTTGTAATTTACCCTAGAATGTTTAATTAACTTGTTTTACTCATGATTTATCAGTTCAGTTCACTATGTTGTCATTTTAGTTTTTATGGCTTGAATTTTTGCACCTTTTTTTGTGAATATGGGTTTAAAAAATCATCCTATGGGTATCCAAAATCTAATAATTTACTAATATTTAATATGATTGTATTATATATGTAATATTAGGGATATTCAAACAAAGAAAAGTAAGTTATCATGACTCCAACCACTGAAAACACACAACTTTTTTATATTTACAAAGTTTTTTTTTTTTTGGCACATTTGGGCTCAGTCCCTTTAGTCATTAGGGGTCGCCACAGTGGAATGAACTAAGTTTTCCAACTATTCCAGCACATGCTTTACACAGCGGATACCCTTCTAGCTGCAATCCATCACTGGGAAACACCCATACATACTCATTCACACACTCATACACTATGGCCAGTGTAGTTGATCAGTTCCCCTATAGCGCATGTGTCTGGACTGTGGGGGAAACCGGAGCACCAGGGAGGAAACCCAAGTCAACACAGGGAGAACATGCAAACTCCACATAGAAACACCAACTGACCCAGCTGGGACTCAAACCAGAGACCTTCTTGCTGTCAGGCCACAGTGCTAACCACTGAGCCATCATGTCGCCCTAATATAAATTCAGAAAACTGTTAATTATAAATAGTGAAATCATATTAGCAGCCAATGACTATCACAGTCCAGTATTGTTCACAGTCAGCTCAATAGAGCGGATGTTGTTTTGAAGTCATATTTACATGCCATTTCTGACCAAATATTCAAAGTAGCATAATAAACATTATAGAGAGGGAGTCACAAGCTGACACTGTTGAAATGAATGAATGTGTGTGTATAAAACAAACTTTACCTCAATAAACACATATTGTATTTTACATAAGAAGATGTTCAGAACAAAATAAACACAGATTTCTTCTACAAAGAGCAAAACTAATAGATGATGCCATTTGCTCTGTAATCTTATTTTGTTTGCCTAATGCTGGTTCTCATTTGAAGTTTGTCTCTGCACATGACAATAAAATTGAATCCGATCTAATCTAGATAATGTAAAGGTGTGTTTTGGAAATATGTTCATCAAATTCCCTCAAGAAAGCACCAGATCAATGATCCTGAAAGGTGAGTGTGTCTTTTTCAGCTGTGCTTTTGTGTGAATAACCCTTCACATGTGCCACTGTGTTTAATAAATGAGCTGTTCTACTGTTCCTGACAGACCAAGAGCAGCTTGATAAGGAAATAACAGACCTCCGCACACGACTGAAAGCGAAAGTGAACCGTCTCAATGAGCTACAAGGTAGAGCTGCTTCATCAGTCTCTTGCTCAGTCATACTTATAAATGGTGTAAACATCTGTGCCGAAGACAAGACGTGTTATTTAGTCTGCGTCTTAGTATTTTTATGTACTTAAAAAGCATTTATATTAGTGCTGGACAAAGATTAACCACATCCAAAATAAAAGTTTATTTGTGATGTTTGTGTGTAATATTCATTCATTCATTTTCTTGTCGGCTTAGTCTCTTTATTATTCCATGGTCGCCACAGTGGAATGAACCGACAACTTACCCAGCAAGTTTTTACGCAGCGGATGCCCTTCCATCTCTGGGAAACATCCACACACATTCACACACACAATCATACACTGCGGAGAATTTAGCCTACCCAATTCACCTGTACCGCATGTGTTTGGACTGTGGGGGAAACCGGAGCGCCCAGAGGAAACCCACGCGAACGCAGGGAGAACATGCAAACTCCACACAGAAACGCCAGCTGAGCCGAGGTTCGGCCCAGCGACCTTCTTGCTGTGAGGCGACAGCACTACCTACTGCGCCACTGCTTCGCCCGTGTGTGTATTATATTTATATTTATTATATATTTATGATACTTGCATACATGTAAACAAAACTACAAAACTATTTTGTTACATAGATATTTAAATTTATGGCTACACTTTACAATAAGGTTCATTAGTTAATGCATTTACTAACATGAACTAATCATGAACAACACATGTACAGCATTTATTAATCATTATTGAACATTTACTAATGCATTATTAACATTCAAATCCATGCTTGTTAACATTAGTTAATGCACCATGAGTTAACATGAACTAACAATGAACTACTGTATTTTCATTAACTAACGTTAACTAACATGAACAAATACAGTAGTAAATGTATTGTTTGTTTATGTTAGTAAATGCATTAATTAACATTAACTAATAAACCTTATAGTAAAGTGTGACTATATATATATATATATATATATATATATATATATATATATATATATATATATATATATATATATATATATATATATATATATATATAAATTATTAATAGTTTGTACTCTGTAAAACCCAAAAGGTTAAGGTAACTAAAACTATTTGAGGAAGCTGATTGCAACAAACTATTTAAGTTCAAAAACTAATTCTAATGAGTGCTGTGAACTTAATCCATTTGAGTAAGCAAAGCAATTTGAGCACTTTCAAACTAAATAGATGAAGAGAACTTAAACCAACTGAGTACTGTACAACTCGATAAGTTAAGGCAACTCAAACCGTTAAAAAGAAACCGATTGCTACAAACCAAAAAAAAAAAAAAACTGATCTATATGAGTCCTGTGGACTTACTCCATTTAAGTTGAAGTAATGAGGTATTTAATGAACTCATCACCTTCAACACTGAGTTCCGAACTCAATTTTCAAATGAGTAGAATTAACTTTCAGTCAATTTTGAGTTAACTACACTCGATTCATTTCATAAAGTTGACTGTTTGGTTTTACAGTGTACTACAGTGTTATCTAAATAAACATTTTCTCAAATATTTGCATGCGTTTGTGTATTTATATATACAAAATAAATAAATAATACATTAATTTGGATGTGATTTAGTTATGATGATTGTTTGCCCAGCACTAATTTAAATGCATCTCTCTGCTTTAATGTTTCAGATGGGTTTTGTAGCACTGAAATGTCAAAACACGGCTGAACTAATGCTGCATCCTTATTCAATCATAAATGTTTGACTCATTTCAGGATTGCGGGAGCAATTCAAGCATTTTCCATTTGCTTTCCTTAAAGTGGACTATACTCCAAATGTGTAGTTTACAGTAAACTGAACGCAATATTAATGTCAAATGATGCTAAATGTGATGGGGAACATTTCAATCTGCTACTGATTGTTGAATCAATAACAGAGTTGACAGTAATGCCTTCTAAAACTGTAAATACCCGAGCATCTGATCTCCTCTTTTGCTTGGTTTTTTACACAGGTAAACCTGAGCTTAGAGGATACAACCTTGCTCCTCTGAGCAGTGATGAAGTAAAGGCGATTAACAGCCTTCTGAAGAAGTGAAGTTGATGAAATGAGTTATTCAGACTGCTTTGAGCCTGGAAATGGGTTGATGTATTGAGCAGTGCACTGGAGCACTAAACCAGCGGTGACTTCACCCACTCCACACAAGATCTGTGTCCTTCTCTTTGGTTTATTCAGTGGTTTTTTCATGCATGGTGTTTGTCAAGTCTGGTCCATGTTCTGTGGGATGTGAGATCATTCACACTTGTGCTTCTTCCCTGTTTCATTTTGAACAGGTTAAAATCAATTGCTGTTTTGTTGAGTGCACATATGAGGATGTTTTGTTGGTCATAATTCAATGCATTTGTGTTTAAATAACTGGATTATACTGTTTAAAATAAAATTAACTGTTGAAGAGAGAAGCCAGAATAATGCACAGATTTCCTGCTGGGTATTCTTATTCATTCATTTTCTTGTCGGCTTATTCCCTTTATTAATCCGGGGTCGCCACAGCGGAATGAACCGCCAACTTATCCAGCAAGTTTTTACACAGCGGATACCCTTCCAGCTGCAACCCATCTCTGGGAAAAGTATTATTATTATATTTTTTCTTACTTTCACAGATTCTGTTAATAAACTGCATCATTTTAATACATTTTTAAATATTTCTTTTGATCTATTATGTAGATGTGGTCCTTCAAAAAATAAATAAAGGATCTCCATGTCGCTCTGCTGGATATACTGTATATCAGGGGTGTCCAAACTCAGTCCTGGAGGGCTGGTGTCCTGTAGAGTTTAGCTCCAACCCTAATCAAACACACCTGAAGCAGCTGATCAAGCTCTTACTAGATATACTAGAAACTTCCTGGCAGGTGTGTTGAGGCAAGTTGGAGCTAAACTCAGCAGGACACCGGCCCTCAGGACTGAGTTTGGACACTCCTGCTGTATATGGTTAACAGCATTTATCTCTGTATTTTCTGCAGGTCTTTGTTTAGCCAGCAGATGGCAGCTTTGCTTTGTGTTAGTTTTATGTTGCAGTAAGTACAGTTGAAGGCTGAATTGGCCTATTCATGTAGTTTAGTAAAACTATATCATTTGAGCATCGATATCGCAGTGTGTAAATCTGCAGTCGTCACATTGCAAGATTAGATTGTTTATTAAAGATAAAGATTCATTCATTTTCTTTTCGGCTTAGTCCCTTTATTAATCCGGGGTCGCCACAGCGGAATGAACCGCCACTTATTCAGCATATGTTTTACGCAACGATTGCCCTTCCAGCTGCAACCCATCACTGGGAAACACCCATACACTATTGCATTTACACTCATACACTACGGCCAGTGTAGTTGATCAGTTCCCCTGTACCGCATGTGTTTGGACTGTGGGGGAAACCGGAGCACCCGGAGGAAACCCACACCAACACGGGGAGAACATGCAAACTCCACACAGCAATAGATAAAGATATTATTAAACATAATTTAAAAAATGTATATCTTTCTACAGTGATGTTATTTTATGTTTAATTGGGCTAGTTAGAAAACCAAAACCAAAGCACTGTTCACTTCACTTGTATCTCAGTTGAGTTATATTTGCTTGTAATTTATTATAATTTATGCAGATGCACCACACAGAAAATGTTTGAATTATTCCAGTCGATATAATTTAGTGAAATATTTCAAAATAGCGCTATTCAAACCATCTGGTGATAGTAATATTGCAATGTATACGGCAGGAAAACTATATAGCGCAATGCCTGAATTTTCCAATATCGCGCAGCCCGAGAATTCCGAGTGATGTTTAACAGTGAGAAGATTTTTAAACACAATAGTTTTAATAACTGATTAGTTTCATCCAAGGATGACAGTACATCATATTTTACTAGTTATTCTGCAAGACTAATATTCAGCTGACATTTAAAGGCTTAATTGGGTTTAGGCAAGTCATTGGTCAACAACAGGCGACAATCCTAAACTGAATAATTAAATAAAAAACATTACGTTTACAAAAATAAAGCAGGACAAACTGCGCTAAACATCATTATTAGTTGTGACTTTGTAAATATTTAAAGAACAATAAGACTGGCTAATAAGTCTGATAAATCTGAAGTAATTTGTGAAATTGATGCTGATGCAGAAGTTTAGGCTCAAGATGATTGTTAAAAGCCATCAGCGTAAAGAGTAAATGAGGAGATCTGCTGCCTAAACGTCTGTCGTCAATATTAACCAGGCTGTTTCAGCTGGATAGTGTTTTCTGTGTGAGTCTCTGGCTGTAGATGTCAGTGTTTGCTCAGGTTTACTGTGTTTGCTTTGCGCTTGTGTTAACGTTGATGATTTAATGGGCAGATGGTCAATGTAAAACTCTCCGCTCCGTTGTTTTGAAAAGATGTGAAATAAGCAAAGGGAGGCTCTTAAATGAAAAGCGGGATCAAGCTGATTTAGCATTGATAGGTCAATAAGTGAAGCGTACGGAAGTACTGTGTGTTGGTCATTGTGTGTTTGTGTGTTTGTTTGTGTGCGTGCGGTGGTGCTGGTGCGTGCTGATGAGTTTATGAGTCAGGATGAGGTGGGAAACAGAAGTCTGTTCTCAGTTATATAATCTCCAAACACCACATTCCAGCAGAGCAGAACGACATGTGAAAACACATTCAGCAGCTTCAGAACATCCAGCCTGATCCGTTTATGCAGAAACACTGACACGGTGTTACTGAGAGACAGATTTCAGGCTTCACACCATTCATTCATTTTCTTGTTTTTACGCAGCGGATGCCCTTCCAGCTGCAACCCATCTCTGGGAAACATCCACACACATTCACACACACACACTCGTACACTACAGACAATTTAGCCTACCCAATTAACCTGTACCGCATGTGTTTGAACTGTGGGGGAAACCGGAGCACCTTCTCAGTGGGTGAGGCTCAAACCAGCGACCTTCTTGCTGTGAGGCGGCAGCACTACCTACTGCGCCACTGCGTCACCTATTAATATTATTATTACTATTATTATTATTTGAATATTCTACACACTCATACCTTTTTAAGGTTCACTTTTGTACCCTTAATATACTATGAGGTGCACATTTGTACTTTTTAGGAATTAATATGCATCTTAAGGTCCTGTTAGGAACAGAAATGCACCTTATACCTTTATTTGTGTGAGTGTATTATGAATACATAAGCACAAGATAAGCAGCTCCCTTTTCATTATAGGTCAGATTAACCTTTTTAGTCAGTAAATCAGATATTTAGCTTGAAGTTTGAACTCTGGGATTGATTCTGCTGAGCCACAGAAATATTTACAACACTGAAACACCAAGAGCAACTCATCTCTGATGATCCTGCAGTCATTATGATTGAATGCCATCAGGTTTGCGCAGACATGAGTCAAAGCAGAAACTGTCTGTTCAAGCCTTAGTTGTGCCCCATTATTACAGATGTATAATTTAAGCAGTGCACTTGCCGAAGGGGATCCGTGAAGAGCGCAGCATTCTGCTGTCTGTTTGTCCATGACAAATCCTGAACAGCTTAAAGAGACACCACACAAAAATACAACATTCTGTCATCATTTACTCACACTTCCTTTACTTGTTTAAACCCTGTTTGAGTTGCATTATTCTGTTGAACACTAAAGAAGATATTTTGAAGAATGTTGGAAACCTGTACCCACTGGCGTCTATTTCTAAAGTCACTGCAAAAATGCTTTTCTTACTTACAGTTTGTGTCTTGTTTTTAGTCCAACTATCAAACAAATCGTAAATCAAGAAGCGTTTTCTAGAAAAGAGAAGGATATTGTCTTTTTTTCCGGAAAAAAAAGTGTCGAAATTAAGAGATAATCTTAAGAATTATTTAATTATTAAGAGTCTGCAAATGGGGTAAGAAAGATTATTCATTCATCCATTTTCTTTTCGGTTTAGTCACTTTATTAGTCCGGGGTCGCCACAGCGGAATGAACCGCCAACTTATCCAGCACGTTTTTACGCAGCGCATGCACTTCCAGCCGCAACCCATCACTGGGAAACACCCATACACACTCATTCACACACCATTTCCGCTCATTATTTCCGTGAACAACACTATATATTTTTTGCTTGTCTGGAGAAAGCTTCTCGTTTAAAGGAGTTTGTTGATATTTGGACTAGAAACAAGACTAAAACTCTATCTGGGAAAAGCAGTTTTGCTGTGTAACTATTGACTTCCATAGTAGGAAAACAAATACTATGTATAGTAATAGTTACATGCTTCTAACATTCCTCAAAATATCTCCTTTTATGTTCATCATGCAGAATAAACAGGTTTTAGAGAAGTACGCTGAAAAACAAGACCTTTACTGTTTGTGCAAACTACTTATTTAAAACGAGCTGAAGCAACACAACTCTTGTGTTTTTTGTGAGGACAACTTAATTGTTTGATGTTCAGTCCACTGGCTCTGTAAAGATGATCAGTTGACTTTACTGAAAGTGAGCAAACGTGTTGCCTTAAGTGTTTTAAGTAAATGGCACAATATGAGAAGTTAAATTAACTTAATAGGTTACAAGTTATGACAGGTTTACTCACTCTTTTATAAAGGCAGGTAAATAATCGCTTTTTACAGTGCATGAGTCAATAATAAGCAAATTCCTCCAAATGCTGCTTTAATGAAATGATGGAGAAGGTGTTTCCACAGAAGATGTCAGTGCGGTGTCTCACAGCAAATGTTTTTCTACTTACATTCAGTTGTTGTGGGAAAGTTGTTGCTTTTGGCTGTGGAGTTTTGCAGTTTAACTTGCGTTCTTATTTTCCCTGTGAGAGCAAGAGCAGATTCTGTCAAAACCCTGACAAGTAAATTACAAATCGATCCATCATCTTTCATGCAGCTTATTTTGGACCTGTCTGTGGTCTTTCATTTTTTTATCTGGTGGTTTAGAGCTCGACTGAGCCCTCCTCATTTGATGTGTTGGAGATGTCCTGCTGTTCTCTTATTATTTCAAAGTCAGGCCAATCTAAATCTAAAAATCTCCCGCTCTCTTTATTTGCAACTAATTTGCTGGTTAGGCTTTTAATACAATTGAACAGTATGTATTACCAATACCTGTACATCATTTAAAAAAGAAAACAGTATCACAAAGGGTTTCACAAACCTGATGTAGTTTGAACTACTTTTTAAAATGTCTTTAAAGAATGTTTATTCATGCTTTTAATGGATGACGGTGGTTTGTTTTGTAGCCAATTGGTAAAAAGGGGCTTTCTTAAGGGGGCTAAAACATTGACCTCAGCAGTTTTTACATTTTATATATATATATATATATATATATATATATATACAATTGAAGTCAGAATTATTAGCCCTCCTGATTTTTTTAGGCCGCTTGTTTATTTTTTCCCCAATTTCTGTTTAACGGAGAGAAGATTTTTTTAACACATTTCTGATCATAATAGTTTTAATAACTAATTTGTAATAACTGATTTATTTTATCTTTGTCATAATGACAGTAAATAATATTTGACTTGATATTTTTTAAGACACTTCTGTACAGCTTAAAGTGACATTTAAAGGTTCAATTAGGTTAATTAGGTTAATTTGACAGGTTAGGGTAATTAGGCAAGTTATTGTATATCGATGGTTTGTTCTGTAGATTAGCGAGAAAAAATATAACTTAAAGGGGCTAATAATTTTGTCCCTAAAATGGTGTTTAAAAAATTAAAAACTGCTTTTATTCTAGCCGAAATAAAACAAATAAGACTTTCTCCAGAAGAAAAAATATTATCAGACATGCTGTGAAAATGTCCTTGCTCTGTTAAACAACATTAGGAAGATATTTAAAAAAGAAGAAAAAAATTTTAAGGGGGTGAATAATTCTGACTTCAACTGTGTGTGTATATATATATTACCAGCCACATATACAGTTGGAGTCAGATTCATTCGCCCTCCTGTTAAACTGTAATTATTTTATATTTTTCCCCCAATGTCTGTTTAACAGAGAGATTTGTTTTCAGCACATTTGTCGACATAAGAGTTTTAATAACTCATTGCTGATTAATTTCCTCTTTGTCATGATGACAGTAAATAATATTAGACTAGATATTCCTCAAGACACTTCTATACAGCTTAAAGTGGCATGTAAAGGCTTCACTAGGGTAATTAGGGTAAAGTTAGGGTAATTAGGCAAGTCATTGTATAACAGTGGTTTATTCTGGAGACAA